TACCTATGTTGTGAACCTAGGTAACTGGAAAGATGATAGTGCCCTTCAGAAAAATAAGGGTATCAGGAAGAGGGGAAGGTTTGGAAGGAGTGATAATGAGATCAATTGTGGACACACTGAATTTAAGATGTCTATAAGACATCCAGTTGATATGTTCAATAGGCAGTTGGAGATGTGAAACTGGAGGTCAAAAGAGAGGTTAAGGCTGGAAAAAGAGATTTGAGAATTGTGTGATAGCATGAGTATTATATAAATATTAGGTACTATCATTAAGTATTAAAAAACTCTGTTGTGAAATAACATTTTCACACATGAGTCTGCCAATGTAGAGGATAGTATCTCACTTTGAAGATCTATTGAAATCGATGACAGAGGCCAAAAATAACCCCAGACAATTAGATGATAGTTTCTCCTTTCACAGAATCACAGTTGCAGAAATGAGAGTTGGAAAGGATCTTATCGGACATCTAATCCATCCCGTACGTCAAAGGATTTTTTTTTTCTTGGTGAGGCAATTGGGGTTAAGTGACTTGCCCAGGGTCACACAGCCAGTAAGTGTCAAGTATCTGAAGTCACAGTTTAGTCACCTGAACTCAGGTCCTATGACTCCAAGGCCAGACCTCTATCCACATCGCCACCTAGCTGCCCCCAAAGGAATTTCTACCACACATACTTGACAAGTGGCTGTTTAGCCTCCAAGGGTAGATTTCCAAGGAAGGAGAATGGAGAACCCACTACTTCTCAAGGTAACCCATTATGCTTTCAGTCAGCTCTAATTGTTAAGAAGTTTTTCCTGACATCAAGCTGAAATTATCCTCTTTGTAACTTTTACTCGTGGTTCTTGCCTTTAAAAAAAAAAGAAGCAAAATTTAGTAAATAAAGGAGTATGGCTTTCTGGGGAGAGGTGACTTCTATATATGTGTTCTAGTGAAGCTGAAATTCTTGTTTTTTGTTTTTACAGTGGGTATATACTTTCTATCCTCTAGGTTTGTCTGTGTTGTGATAAGAACTCCTTAGAGTGATTTTGGAACTTCTCATAAAAAAAGGTATTCCTCACTTCTGGGACTAATAGGTAGGAAATCTTGTGTTCTCATTCTGACTAGGTTATAGGACAACAATTACTTGGTTAAAATGCTTGTCTTTTTGGGAAAAGAATTAGTGAACCATTCTATCTCAGGGGAGGTTTGCTGAATTGTATATATGGAATCATGGCACTCCAGAATCTCAGAGTGAGAAGACAATTTCCCAACAGGTGTGTGGGCCCCTTTACAGGTGAACTTCAGGGGTGTCTCTACTCTTCCCACTGTGCTGTGTGAACTTTTGGGAGAGTGCAAGATCTTTTGTTGCTGTTTTTCTTACTATGTTATTTCATTAAATGCCTTTACTGTGACCTAATTGCATTCTTTGACTGACTGTAGAACAGTAAGCACATCAGTGGGGGCTCTTGAGTTATAATTTTAAGAAATATGGACCCACAGTTACTTTGAATGTAGGGTTGTCATCCCCTGTGTAACCCAGTCTGTACATGTGATTTTTGGGGGGGGATCCCAAAGAAGTGCTCCCCTCTTCAAGCCTTTGTTAAAGGAGTTCTGCCTCCTAAGACAGCCCATTTTATTTTTGTATAGCTCTAATTACTACACAGTTTCCCTTTTCATCAAGTCTAAATCTGTTTTTCTGCTACTCCTCCTCTTCCTTCTAGTTCTTTCCCAGGGGATTATAAAGAATAAGTCTCATCTCCTTTCCCATGACAATCCTTTAGATACTTGAAGACAGCAGCCTTAGTCCTCCATCCTCAGGTTTTTTTTTTTCTCTCCCAAACTAAACGTCCATTGTACCTTCAAATAATCCCCATTGGATACTGTTCTGAGGCAGCTCTCCATATTAATAGTCACATTTGCCTGGAGCCAATGGGAGAAAAGAGTCAAAAGATTTATAGCACATACTGCATTTATTTTCAATTATAATAAAATTCCAGTATAAATATGTGCGTATGATATATGTATATATACTATGCATTATATATACATATATATTACACACGTATATGTTGAACATGGATAAATTTAGTTTGCCCTAGTTATGTTTTCATATGGGGGTTTCACATAATCATTTCTGTATGTTCTGGAGTTTCTTTTCCTCCCCCTCCTCTCTACCTACTCCCTGCCTTCAGGCTACTGAACAACTCAGTGGAACAGAATAGAAACATGGTACAAAGAGTTTGAGTGAAAGAAGCAAAGAATCATATTTAGGCTTGATGATGTAGAGGAAAACTTGCTAATAATGAGGGACATTCCAGGTAGAATGGGTTCCCCCAGAGAATAATGAGTGCATTGCCCCATACTGGAGGTCTTAGAGGAAACACCCTCTGCCCACTTATTGGTCTTAATCAGGGATGGGTTAGACTCCATGGCCTCAGAGGTCCCTTTGAAATTAGGCTCTGTGGTTGAATCATTTTCCTTGGAAAATGACTTTAACAATTCTTAGCAATGTTGAAAACCCTGTTAGAACTCTAAGTATGGAGAACTCTAACAGCAGGACCCTGTTTCCTGTTGACTTCCTGTCCTGATGAAGTTGTGCTAGCCTAAGTGCCTGCTTAGTGTTGTTTGACCAGCAGGAAGTTTACTGTACTGTCACTCCAATAAAAGTTACTTTCAAAGGAAACTACCAGCAGCCCAGTGCTCATCTCTGTCATCTCTGGCTACCCTGATGACGACTCCTGGGACAAACTAAACGGAATGCTTTGTGGTTCTTTGATGATAGGTTACCCAAGAATAAAAAGGTTGTCACTAACAACTAAAATGGTCTGAGAAACAACTTTGTTATGTTAAAGGTCATCCAGTTTCCTCCTCAATCGTATGAGGAGGTTGAGCTAGGTGATCTCTTTAGTTCTTTCCAGCTTTAAATCCTATGGTCCTATGATATAAAGCTTAGTAAGCCAAAAGAAGGGTAGGGAGGTATAAGTGTGTGTGTGTGTGTGTGTGTGTTAGTGTGTTTCCACAGAGCAGCAAATTCTTCAGAAATCTATGTTGGGTAGGTGTTGGGTTATATGTTCATACATTTATCTCCTGAAGACCCATTTTCTCTAGTGTGTTCCCTTTAGTAGGGTGGGCAGGTGGTGTTGTCAAGAATAAAATGAAAACCCCTTGTCAAATTTTCTAAAGACCAGTTATGATCAGAAATGTGGACCCCATTGACCTCATGCCTTGTTCTATGGATGGTTGATACATTATTTGCATTGCATTGAATATTTCATTTCCAGGAGAATGTAAGCTCTTTGAGGACAACTTTGTTTTTATCTTTGAATCCCCAGCATCTAACATAATGCCTGACAAATAGTAGGTGCTTAATAAATGATTGTAGAATTGGTTTGAATATAGCTGACCAAGTTAATAGGTTTTTCTATACAAAAATAGTATTTGGAGAGGGCAATATATTTTTTCCTCTTCTTAAATCCTATTCAATTAATTTGATCTTTTAGGTGTCTAATGCAATGAAAGTTTCATAAAAACAATTTTAAAATGATCAGGCTGGGCATATCAATATTTATTGAAATACTGAAAAAAAATTCCATTGGTGTTGAGAAACTTCTGGCAAAGAACTGACATGACAATATGTATTTCACTGATACAGTAAGAGAACTCCAACAAGTAACTAACTGCACACTCTACCCAAGGCAGCTGCAGAACATCTGTAATACAAATATTCAAACATTACAGATTGTCTGTTTACAAACATAGAACAACTATGGTAAACCAGCCAAAGCCCAAACCTTTTCATTTTAGTCTGCTTTTACTAATATGTCCTGTAATTGATAAGGCAGTCATTAAGTAAATGTCTGGTTACAAAGTGGTTAACAATTAACATTGGAGAAATTGAGTTCACAAACTTTGGCAAGTTGGAGGGATTCTCAGAACCACAGACACTGACAAATTTACATTCTAGTTTATCTGCTTCTGAACTTTCTGTTCTCATCAAAATTTGACTGGTGGTTGTTGTCGCTGTTTTAACAAACCCTTCTGTCACATTCCTCTCTAGTGAGATTGTAGCGCTTTATATATAGTTAATAACACACTTATATTTGACATTTTTAAAGGTTTTAATATTCAGTGAGGAGCACTGTATTAGAAAAAATAGAATTTACAGAATGCAATGCATTTGTTTGAAATGTTAAAAAAAAAACAAAACAACTCAAAACAGAAACAATCCATAAACCCCTCACCCATGTTGTACATATATGACTGGACCCACTTTTACAGCTCAATGGTAAAACAATTGGTCTCCATATGTGACTGGGTCAACTTGGTATAACTGGAAAAAATTCATTTTTCATATGTTGGATAGCCATTTTGCTGAGCTATTTTTCTGGGGTCCTTTGAACTGTTTAGATTAGAATGAGTGGTTAAGATTGGCAGTAGAAATACAGCAAGGAGTCACAGATGTTAAACTTTGCTAAGTTTGTACCCTACTCCCAGACAAAATATTTGAGCTGAGTCATGAAGGTGATGAAATGGACAGCTTTGAAGGACTAGAGAAGCACGGACTGATGTCTTTGGTATACAATGTACAATGCTTGGAAAGGAATTTAAGGTGAAGAGCCCACCTCTCTAAGTTAAGATCACTTGAAACAGAGGATGCTACAAGTCATAAAATTTACAACAGATTTTAAATAAACTACCTTGAAGATTAGGAAGATTTACAGGCATTGAGTCAAGTGACTGATTTTCATTCATTAAGACTCTTGTATGTCCCTGAACTATATATTCTACTAACTTGAAGACATGCTACAGTAAACACATATATTTGGCTTCTTCATTCTTGGCTATATCTTATACAAAGGGGAAACTAAGGAACAATAAATTAGCATCATAATTGTCTACAGTTGAAACTATGATATACAATATAAATAAACTATTTAAAAGCCAGCAATATTTATGAGAAAAAAAATTAAGGGACTAGGAGGTTTCTTTTTTCTTTTTCTTTGTTTTTTTTTTTTTTACAGTTTCAGCAAGTGATTGTGCAGCCAATAATCTTTAAAAAATTAGAGTTTAAATGAGATTCCCTTTTGATTTTAGTGTCTCACGACATACAGTAATTAAGAACTGGTAAAAAATAATTACCAATCAGAAAGCGACATCAAGGAAACGACTGCGTTTTCGATGTGTAGTATCACGGTTCCCCCCCACAGGACCTAAAGAATGTAAACACTAGGTTTTCTTTGAATGCGAAAGTAGTAATACTTTATTTTAAACATTTCTTGATCCACACCTGCACAGTTAACTCTTGGGATAGTGAAATAAGGCAAGACTTTCATAACTGTGACTTTACATGTCATAATACTGATATCTTCATTTGGAAAGAGATTGTTTGTAATTGTCTTTCACCAATATTTGTTCTGCAGCAGACTTTGGTCTACTTAGAAATGGCAGTATCACTCTTCTTTTTGTCCTCTTTGTCCAGCTTTTAGTTACGTTCCATAGTCTTCCCCTCTCTCACCCCCACCCTCAACACATATTAAAAACAAGTCCCTTCTTTCCCACCTTTTGGCAATGTTCAATTGCTGTGAGACTAAATGATTTGATTTCCACTGGCTTTGCTTGTTAGCTTGAACAACCTAGAAATGCTCTTTGAAACCCAAGCACAGATTTTATTTTAACAATTTTTTTAATGAACTACAGACTTGATACTGAAAAGACTGATGTGCTCTAACAAGCCATTTGACACAAAAACTTTATGGATACCAGCACGTGGTGATGTCCAGATGCATCACCACTACAGCAGCAGAAATGGGTCTCCTTAAAGCTTTAGCTTTGGACCAGTTGACAAGCATGTGAAAGCATGTTTTCCTGTATCATGCTGACATAGACCAGAAGAGGGATACTGCCTCCATTTTTTTTAACAACATGTACACATGACAAAACAAACTTCAGAACATATTAAGAATGGCAAGCTAACTTATTCCTAGACTGTTCGTACTAATGGTTTGCAGGCCTGGCACGTAGGCTTTTTATGATTTGGTGGCATGGCTGATGTGTGTGTGGCCTTCCACAGGTCTTTGCTTTCCTCCTTCTTTTAAAACAGGTTTCTGCATAAAGAACACATCCATGATCACAGAAGAGAGTAGGTGTTGGGTCCTTGGAAGGTTAATACAAAGGATGCTGCCAGAAGGTGCAGCTTGCATCCTTTGGAATAGTTTTTATTCCAGCTATCTGGTGAAGGAATTCAGTGCACGCAAATCCCCCCCATTACAATAGCTTGATAGCACAGGTCAATTTGTTCCTAAATTTCTTCATTTAGTGGAGATGAGTTTAAATATACAAGAATTGTTCTGTCCTTTCCCATCTGACATGGTGATGTTGTCCACCTGCAAAGTTCATTAAGTTTCAATTGTAGTGTCTTATATTCCTTTGGGGATGTGTAGCATTTGATTCACAGTTTGCAATACAAATACCCTGATACATCACTTATTTACTATTAAGTATTTGATTATTATACCATTTTCTCAGTGTCTGAAAACCAAGTTTTTAATTAGTGTTGCTTGGAGCAGTTCAGAGTATTTCTTTTCCTTTTTTTTCAGCTTTTTTTTGAAAGCAGAAATAAGCTCTTAGGGGGTGGGGGAGAATTTATGCTCTCTTTGCATGCAGCATTTCAATGAGGAGGTTATTACATGGCACATCCCCATTCAGGTGTTTGTAGTAGAGGTATTCTTCAGCCTGCATACTGATGGCCCGAATCTCTGGTAGCCGGAGGAGAAGCTGCCCAAACTTGTCTGTCTGTTGTGGGTAGTTGCACATTGTGTAGTCCAGCAATGCAGCATTCACTTGTTCTTGAACCCCTTCCACCAGCTGGAAGTTCTCAAGGTTTTTGACATCTGGGTTGAAAAAAAAAAGAAGTCACACCATTTCAATTGCATTTTAATTCCTGTTTACCAAAGCCTTGTGTTCAATTAATGGGTGTATTTTCCTCCTGACATAAAGCATACTTTACATGCTGCTGAATATTCAGTAAATCCCACTCACCAGGCTTCTTGGGGAAAAAAGGATCACAAAAGAAGTGGAGCAGAGTATCTTGTTGAAATTCTGCATATACCTCAAATCAATTAGACACCAATGGATTTTGAGCAAGGTCAACTCTTTTCATATCTTACAAAAGGGAAAGGTTTGTGGATTCCTAAAGTAGAGAGACCATAATATATTGCCAGCAAATGAGTCCCCAGAGAAAGACCCATCTTAACCCAGTATATTACACAATTCATATAATTCTGTATTAATTTTTCTGACCCAAGGTGAAATCTGTGTCCAGGGTATGATGTAGTTAATTCTAATAAAAAGTGACAGGGTTCTTGTTTCTGTTTGACATTTTCTAAATGATTCTGAAAGCCTTTGACTTGTCTAACCCATGCTAATGAACCATCTGGTACACTCCAGTGACTGCCAACATAATCTTCCCTACGAGAAACTCTCTAAAATATATATCTTGGTGACTAATGATCTTTGCAAAATGAAAGCTTTGTCCTTTCGGCAAAATAACAGGACAGGACAGTGCCCTTTAACCTAATACTGGCTTCTCCATTTCTCTTTGAGCACCTCAGCATTCATGTAGGGAACGTGGGCCCTGGAAGTTCATTTTGCCTTAATCCAAGTGGCCATCTATAGTTGTTTTAGGGCATCTCTGCCTTAGGGGGACACTATAAATATTGAAATAAAAGAGTAAGACTAGCTCATTGAAAATTTCTTTGATGAAACACCACTTCTGTTGTTTATTTATGCAAACAGCACCCCTTGCATCCAGTGTGTACATAGTATGCAGATACATGTAGTTATACACACATGCAAATAAATCCAAACATGCATGCGTGTGAAGTAAGCAGATGCAGACCCTTTCTCCTTCCAATTACACAAAAATAAATAGGAAAGAGTTAGGGTGATCTGATCCTGAGGCAAGATCAGTGGGGCTCTTATTGAAAGCTGAAATGCACAAAATCCAATCAACTCTGTTAATGGTTGTCAAAGGAATCATTACTCTCTCATACACGATTTTGCATTATATACCATTAAATTCATGTCTGTGTATGTATATGTGTGCATTTAGTTTTCTCTGTATCCATACACAACAGGGTTGGTTTACAGTTGCTGGAGAAATGTGTCTAGAATGATTTGGGTGTTTACATTTTTAGCTATAATTTTGCATCAATGTGCCCTCCATCCCCTTTCTTCAACTCTCCACCTCAAATTAAAAACAGTGAGGGAATTTAGTAGTAAGGTAAATAAACATAAGTAATGTGAGATGCAGAGTTGATGTTTATTTCAAAGCCAGGATGGTAGGATCAAATATGTTGTCTAAGTGGAATAATGAGATCCTCAAATAATCACTGACACAGAGTCCACTATTGCGACGGCTGCACCTCAGTATGGTATTTAAACTCCACAGACAAGTATCAGAGTGCATTGTCAGGATAAAACCACTGTATTAAATCATCAGATAAGATATGTGAATGGGTTTTGCAGACCTTAAAGTGGACCATAAATATGTTATTCCTACTCATTCTACTTTCAGTTTATCCAGATACACAAAAGTCACTCCTTACTCTAGAATGCAATTCTCCAGAAGTAGAGACATAAAACAGTATTTATAATTCTTCAAAATGCCAGGAAGCCTGAAGAATTCTCACACCTACATCCCTTACTAGAGACAAATGCACATAATTGTACTCAGCTAACTCCAGCAGATCAAAAAAGATATTTTCAAGATTCAGATGCCTTTCTGATTATGAATGATTCCCTATACTATTCTTTTTCTTTCAATTAAATATTTTCTTCTTGATTATATATGAATCCTCAATTCAACACATAATATGAAATTTGTGTACAGTTTTTTAAAGACATATTTCATTCTTCATTAATTGCAAAATGAAACCTCTCATGCATTCTAGAATTAATCATCTTACATTTGGTTCCTCTGTGCAGGCAAGGCTGTAAAGATTTAATTTTTCTAAGTATGAGTGTTTTCAAAGACACACCGAAGGTATACTTGGCTAGCTACTGTCAAATGTAAGTGATAAAGGAAAAAAAATCCTTGTTAGTATATTGCTGCTCTCAGTATAATATAAATGGCTCTCCTTGGGCTCTTGACGCTAATATTACAAGCAGGTTCTGTAATGCTTATCAAGTCTTGCTTTGCTGATCACTGATACAGGACAGTCACATGACACGAGAGTAGAAGGTGTAAATGTGATTTTGAAATCCTGAAATTTCCAGCTGAAGTTCTGATTCCCTTCTCAGAAAAATTCTTTGCTCTACTCTTCACCCATCCTACAGGAGACAGGATTTGACTAACTTTTAAGAACCGTCTGTGGGAGGATATAAAAGAAGACAAGTAACATCAAATGCTACAGTGACTTTGAAATGAGTTACTTTTAACGATAAAGTGAAATAATGGTTTATGTTACAATGAAAGAAGTTCTCACAGGCAAGACAGAGAACAATGGTCAAATGGGTGACTTGGGAGGGTGTCGGAATTTGTTCAGTGGAACATGTGAGATAAATGAATAGTGGCCTATTTAAAAGTGAGCATTTGAAACATGTTTTCTTTGACAAATGTAACTCTGAGAATCAGTTGTGCATTTGGGGGAGGGGGGACAGGTTTCATGCCAAACTTAAATTCACACAAAAGAAAACAAAAGGACCCCACTAGTACATAAACCCTAGGTTTAGAAAATTATTTACTAATAGGCATTTGAAAAACCTATTTTTAAATTTTTGTTTGAACATCAGCTGACAAGCTGATCAGGTCTGGTAATTTTACTTCCAAAGCCTGAGAAAGTATTCAATTTCTCCTTCTTTTGCAATCAATGAGCACTTTTTAAGTGTCTAATATTTGTCAGGTACTTTACTTTCACATCATTACTCGAAGAGAAACATGCAATTTCTGTCCACTGAAATTCTCTTCATTTCAATTTCCACTGAAATCCTTTGGACCTGAGCTCATGCACAACTGCGTGTCTTCACTCCTAGGCAGTTGCCATGGCTTTTCTGTTACCGATAATAAGAATCATGGAACTAACTGTACCATACAGGCATGTTGACTGAATGTACTCTTTGGTTGTTTCTTTCTATGTCTCCACAGGCTAAGGGAGTTGGGATTTGAAGCATCCATCCCAACGTTCAAGCAATCAGGGAAAAGAGAAAAAAAACGGCTTGCTCTTGATTCTGAAGATTATTTGATTACAAGAATTAAATTTGTTGGATAACTACTTTCTTCCTAACTTTATCTGGATAGAAATAAGCTCATGCTACACTCAATTAAATGTCTGGAACAGTTCTTGTATCATTTGGGAAGAAGAGAAATATGACTATTCCTATCTTGTAAGAATAAGATGTAAAAAATTTTCAATTAGGGCTTCTTGGAAAATTCTGTATTTTACATAATAGATTCATTCCTGAAAAGTTGCTTATAAATCAAAATTTTATAAAACAGACTTAAAATGCAATGGGGCAATCTACTCTACTGATGTCCTCCTTCAAGGCCTCATCTTGGGTTTGAGGTGGCTCTGTGTTCTCAAGAGTGATGCACAAGTGTCTATCAATCAATCAATCAATTATTCAATCAATTGCTATGTAACATGTTGGGCACCTGAGACACAAAGACAAAAATCTAACAGTTCCTGCCCTCAAAGAACTCACAGTGAATAAGGGGGAATAACACATACACAAATAAGCAAAATAAATATAACTAGGTTCTGATTAGTGCTAATAACTAAAGGTACATTATTTAAATTTCCATGATATGGTTCCATTATTTACCATAATTATTTACAAAATATATTTATTTACGAAAATTATTTGCTGTTATTTACCAAATGTATTTATCAGATTTTACATAATTATAACTTTGGGAATTTGAATTCATAATACCATTTCATGGGATTCATTATTCTCACTAATCAGTGCCTGGCTGTACATATTGCTAAGTAACTTTTAGGAGAGGGCATTAACAGCTATGGGATTAGGAAAAATCTCAGGTAGGATGTGACATTTGAGTTAAATTTTGAAGGAAAGTAGGGATTAATTTGAAGAGGTGAGAAGTAAGAGCAGTGTATTCCAGACTTGGAGGAAAACCTTTGCAAAGGCACAGAGATGGGAAATGGTATGCTGTGATATGTGAGGAACAAGCAAGAAAGTCAGTTTGACTCAACCTGAAGGTTATCTGAAGGGGAGGAATGTATAATAAAGGCAGCTGGGTGGTGCAGTGGATAGAGTGCTGGGCCTGAAAGTCAGGAAAACATCTTCCTGAGTTCAAATTTGACCTTAGACACTAGCTGTATGACTTTTGGCAAGTCATTTAACCCTGTTTGCCTCAGTTTCCTCATTTGTAAAATGAGCTGGAGAAGGTAATGGCAAACCACTCCAGTATCTCTGCTAATAAAACCCCAAATGGGATTACAAAGAGTCAAAAGTGACTGAAAAACAACCGAAAATGTATGATAAAGCTGGAAAGGAAAGTTGGAGCCAAATGATAAAGAATTTTCAATGCCAAATAGAAGACCTTGTCTTTGATTCATAGGGAGCTATTACAGTTTATTGAGCAGAGAAGCAACATGGAAGAGTTTTGAGTGGTGAACTGTATATTTATTGCCCCGGTTTTGTTGTTGTTCTGTTGTTTCATTTGGGTCCGATCCTTTGTGACCCATTCTTTTTTGGGTTTTCTTGGCAGAAATACTGGAGTGATTTGCCATTTCCTTCTCCAGCTCATTTTATAGATGAGGAAACTGAGGCAAATAGGGTTAAGTGACTTGCCCAGGGTCACACAGCTAGTAAGTACTTGAGGCCGGATTTGAACTCAGGCACTCCTGACTCCAGGCCCTATACTCTA